TTATTGAATAAGCTATAAATAAGATCGTACTAACAAAGAGAGTATAAGCATTTTCAAAGTTCGATATGAAAATTTGCAGAAAAATTACCAGAATATAGACTTGAAAATATCTTGTAATGGTGTCGCCGTTCGTGGTAAAAAATCATCCTACAATTCCACAAACTTAAGTTTCTTGAGGCTCCTCTACTTAGTAGTAACTACTAACTTACAAGTAACTCACTCTTTAGAAAATTTATCACCATTCATGCTGTAAATACCTTTCTTAATAACCAAACAACCTCCTACATTAGGACAAATTTAGCAGAATATTCTAACCAAACTCAAGAGATGTAAAAAGGAAAAATTCAATTCGAGTTTTGCTTTGATTCCATGTACATACAAAAGCATATTCTTAACTTCCAATCCAACTAGACAAAAAGCTTGGTCAACAATGGACCAACCACTACAATCCAACTAGAGAATTCTGAAAATAATTTTGAAAATCTAAACCATAATCCTAAACCGATTCTACACACTAAATTCAGCCAAATTTTGAAAAAAAAAAAAATTGGGTTTAGAATTTTTAACCTGCAAAATAACGGAGAAGATGACGTCAGCATACTTAACGGCGAGATTAAGCGACATACATCTAGCCGGAGCCAGGGCAAAACACCGGATCTTGCTCCTGGGCACACCACCAATCATCGCCGGATTATCAACAACCAAAATCGCCATTAAAGCCGCCACACCAGATCCCAAAGAATGACCAGCGAAAACCAAATCATACTCTTTCCCATTCTCCTCCCAAACGCTACGAATCGTCTCAGATTCTTCAGTCAAAACCCAAGCCGCAGATTTCAAAAGCCCATGATGAACAAACCCACCTCCATGCTTTCTCTGACCAAGCTTGTTGTCCAAAAGGATCTTGTAATCACTCTCTTTCGCTAAGTTCAATCCGCGAATCGCTAACACGATCTCACGGTGGTTGTGGTCGACGTAGATTATGTACGGTGGAGATCGGCCTTGGGTTTTCTCGTGAGCCACTCTTTTGATTACCCAATCTGGGTTTAGATCGAAGTTTCCGATTGAAGGTGAGATTTTAGGGTTTCGGAGATCAGGTTCGTAGACGGCGAGGATTACACGACAGATTCTTGGGATTGGTTCGAATTCTTCAGATGTTGCTGCTGTCCAAGTGGCACTATCGTCGGAGCCGACGTGTGTGCATCGTTTCCATGCCCACCGACTGAAACCCACGCACAAGACACATTCCAGCCCACAAGTTACAGACATTGAGGGATTTTTTTCAGACAAGAAAGTCGAGAAATTTGACTCAAAGCTGAGATTTTTTTGCAGCTAGGAACATAAGAACTACGATTTGGGGATTTTCAGACACAAAATAGAGATTTTTACAAGAATTAGGAATTGGTTGTTGAAAATCGAAAATTTGGGATAAAGCTGGGAATTTTACTCTTAGAAATTGATGGGTTTTAGGAATTAATGGAGTTGGAGCAAAGATTAGAGAATTGGGTTATGAAGAATACAAAGG